GAACATCATCGTCAGTAACGCTACTTCCCTTTCTGCTCTGCTGTGTGTAGGGATGGGAAGGTTGGGGGAGTGGGGTGGGCAAGACTTCTTTTTATGCTGGGGAAATAGAAACTGACTTCCTCTTTGGAGTTTTCCCAGAAAACTACTTTATGAAGACAAATTTTAAATCTTTCCATTTTTCCATCCTTGAAGGTGGTAAATATGATTGTGGTTTTATCCGTTTTTATTGTAAATGAAACAGAGTTCAGACCGGCCGCTGCATGCACGTCATTTGTTGGATGGCTGCCACCGACTAATGCAGACGCCCCACTGGGAGACCAGAGAAGCCTTACACTGTGATTCACCGGATTGTGTTAAATAGTCCAGCTGTTGCGATTTGAAAGATAGTTACCTCGGAAGTGAAATAGAAATGAACTTGGCATTTATGCCTCAAACCATTTTTATACTGTTTGGCAATCAGCTTTTCAGAGGTAGCATTTTATAAAATAACTCTCACCGCTTAAAGGTTTCACTCACTGTAATGTTCAAAATGTCCACCTTTATATTATCAGTAAAATTAAGCTTGAGCGATATTCGGGATTTGCATGAAATGCTCCCCCCCCTTCATTTCCTGAGCTTTGATTGTATTCAATTGAGCTCAGAACCGCACCGATTAGGGGCTCTTTGGGGCATTAGTTAATTTGAATTGCAGCCGAAATGTTAGCTAGAATGTTGTTGAATATAATTGGGATGTGGAAAGTTGATTTTGAAAGGAATGTCATTGAATGCAAACAATGACTGGCTTTTTTGGGGGGTGGGGTGCACAGAGATTGCTTCTGTTCTGTCTCCTGTGACACAGCCAGAGAAATCACCGAATCCCTTTACCAAGTTCAGCTTTGCTGAAACTGTTCACAGCAGCTCTGACTCTTCTCACTCACAGCAGTGTGGTTTGGAGTCAGGTCTTTCCTTTTGCCAGCAACTGGGTGGTCTCACCTGCCAGAGTCCCCTGCTTTGACTCTCCTGCAGTCAGAGGACAGCGGCTGTCAGTCATAAAAGGAGCTGCAGATCGGGAACATCTCGAATCCCAGCTTTTCCTTGGTGTTTTTGTTTTTGTCTTGAACACTCCATCCAGAATGATCTCTGGATGCGGTCTAGTGGAGAAATCCTGGCAAAGAGTCTGCAGTTTGGGCCCCAAGGCAACTGGTGAAGGCTCTGTGGGAGTGGATGGGTCTCTCTGCTTGCTCTCCTGGAGTAAGCATCTGACAGGGGAGGGACAGACAGACTCACATAGCCTTCCTCACCCTCTGCGACTCAGCAGCTTTGTTTTCCCTGATTCTGCTTCCCCAGGATGAATGCGTCTTCATTGCTTATCCGGGGCCCCCTCCTTAGGTGCTGCATTCAAGTAGGAAGTGGACAGTGACGGTGCACTCTGACCTCTGTGCACTGCTGCTTGAGCTTTGGGGATTTGAGAAGCTTCCGGTTCAGACATCTAGACTCTGGCCCTGCGTGTGCGGCAGGGTTCTCACTCAGCGCTGTCCCTTGCGGACAGAGGACTGGACTATATTACTTGCTTTGTTGTTGCTGCTGTGATAAACATCCTCTAAGGGAGAAAGGACTGATTATGGCTCCGTGTGAGAGTACAGTTAGTCCATCGTGGCAGGGAAGGCGTGGCAGCTGGGGGCGTGGGGCGGCTATCTCACTCAGTTCAGGACCCAAGCCCAGGGAATGGCGCCGCCCACATTCCCCCCACTTGGATTCACCGACTCTTAAGTCCTCGCCAGCACACTCAGAGGCCTGTCTGCCTCTTAATTGAGTCTGGATCCTATCAAGCTAAGCATCAATGGCATCGTGGAGACAGAGAGAGAATGTGATGTACCCCTGGGGAGGAAGGCTTCTTGCTCTGCAGCGAGCTCTGGGAAGCTCCACAAGGGAGCCGAGGAAGGACGTAAGGACATCAGACTACGGAGTGCAGCTCCAGGGGTGGACTCTGCCCTTGCTGACCTGAAAGTTATTGGTGGAAACAGTGGAAATAAACTAGTGTTTTAAAAATGTCCACAATTAGCCTGTGCCACCGACGGTGTATTTGGAAAATAGCCCGGTGCAGGAAGGAGGCAGCTCAGACTCCCACACAGGCTCTGCTGCTCTCTCTCTCTCTCTCTCTCTCTCTCTCTCTCTCTCTCTCTCTCTCTCTCTCTCTCTCTCTCTCTCTGTCTCTCTCTCTCTACCTAGCCCCATCTCCATCTAGAAAGTGGATGGATGACTAGCCTCATCCCTTTCTCTCTTGCCCTGGGGTTCCCAGAAAGTACCACTGTGACTAGTACCTACTGTGCCTAGTCCGATGAGAGTCAACCATGGGATTCTCAGGCTGGCTTGCTCGAGGACAGGTAAAGTGGCAGAGACTAACTGCCCCAGAAGCAGTTTCAACCCAACAACCCCAAGGTATCTAAGTGTTCAGCCCAATCAGCCTGTGTGTTGCTGCCACAGGACACTGAGAGCGGTTCCTGGAAATGTCTAATGCCCAGCTGAGGAAGACAGCTTGTGCTAGGAGCCGCTAACCATCCTTCGCCTGCAGATACACAGGGCCACGAAGGCACCCACAGTAGTTCGCAGCAGCAACGAAGGTCGGTATGGGCTGATGGGAGTCACTCCCTCCAAATGGCAAAATGAGGCTGCAACCTTTGCATGCTTCCAGCAGACTGGCTGCCTGACCGCAGCCGGCTCACAAGCAAGCTGGTGAAGCTAACTGGAGTTGGCCTGAAGGCTGCCTGTGGCTTTCCCCCCCCCCCCCCCCGCCGCCCCAATCCCTCTGGTTGGCCATGAGAGAAATGCACATGAGCTATATCTTTTTTTTTTGTAACCCCGAGAGGGTTATGTGTAGCAGGCTCTGGGGTAGCTTATGAAGGGCATGATATGCTAACTCACCTAAGTGGCGTGTGGCAGCGGCTGGCCTGTGGACCCATCCTGCAGTTCCTCCCAGCTTCTCCAGCTTGCCCACCTCCCAGCTCGGATGCATGTGCAGTTCCAAGTGCTAGGGCTCAGCTTGTCCTGCAGGGCTGCTGCATTTCTACTTTGTCCTCAGCCTCTGCCAGTTTACAGCTGGCCTGCCTACCAGCTGTCAGAACACCCAACTTCATGCATAGAGATGGCAGACGCCCACAGACTACCCGATAGTGTCCTTTGTTGCCTGGTGTCTAATTCCTGCAGCAGCTCTTATCAGTGTCTCTGCTTTCGTGATAATGAGCTATAAGATGTTGCCTGGACCAGAGAAAGCCTGAACAGGTACTATCAAGGAAACACACCCCATCTCTAGGACATAGTAACGGGTTTCATTGTGTCCTAGTGACAGGCGTTTCGAGAACTGTTTCATTGGCAAAGGTACAAGGACAATGCCAGCTGGGCATTGGTGGCGTACACCTTTAATCCCAGCACTGGGGCGGCAGAGGCAGACCGGTCTCTGTGAGTTCGAGGCCAGCCTGGTCTACAGAGCTCCAAAGCAACTCAGAAAAGCCCTGTCTGGGGGAAAAAAAATAAAAGAACTGTGTCATCATGGTCTCTCTTCTCTCCATTCCTGAGGGTCTCTTTCCTTCCACCACCTCCCAAGGAAGACAATGCTGTGTGGTGATCACACAGTGTGGTGGCCAAGCCATGTCTTTAATATGACTTGAGAATGAATCCCAAGCATCTGGATAAAGCATGTAGGGATGAGCATGGCTGTTGTGACCTTGTGAGGAGGTTGTGCAGGGCCACCTTCCACAATGGCTTCTTCTGTTTCCATGGATAGAAGAGACCTCCAGCTCTACTCTCGCCAAAGTTTTCTCTCTAGCTTGCTACTATTTGTTTGTTTACACGTGATTTGCAATAGGTGCTAGAGATAGAATCTTGGACAAGACTATTCAGTCCTTGCCCCATATGTTATCAGAGAAACAAGCAAGAAGCAAGTCCCTGAACGGAGAAGCCAGTAGCTCAGAGCTGACCTTTGAGAGGTCAGGGCAGTGGAAATGGGTGCTGAAAGGCCGAGCAGTGAGCAGACACTAGGCATCACACAATATGTGGGCCTGCTCATGCTTCTCTGGAGTGACAGAGTCTTGTCCTGGAATCGGCCCGGAGGACGGCCTGAGAGTGTTAGTTAGAGCTGCCATCATTCCTCTAGAAAAGCTCTGCGGCCCAAAGCGCCCAGGGCAGGTGCTGACCACGACTTCCGAGAGGACTCGGGCCCACAGCCTGGCACATGGCAAGTGGCTATGTTTGAGGGACACCTCTGTTCCCACAAGGAAGCATCACCTGCCTGGTGTGAAAGACCTCGCTCGGAAGGGAGGCCAACTTCTGAGGGGAAACAGAACAAGGTGAGCCGCTTCTCAAGAACCACGGTCTTCCTGACCAGAAGAATTTCTCCGGGGCTGGAGCTTTCTCCTGGAGATTTCCATCAGCCCTTTTCTTGGCCTACCTCCTGAGGCCAGGACTGCTTCCTGGGTGGTAATGGCTGTGGTGGGTACAGCCGGCTGCCCGTCTCATCTGCCCATCACTGAGCCGGGGTGATCCCCAAGTCTCTCTCCATGCAGCCTCTCACAGCTAAAGCTGCAAACAGCTGCACTGGGCATGAGAGGGAGTGCTGGGCTGGCTGGGCTCCAGTAGCTGAGCAAGGGGGTAATGGTAGGACAGGGCTGGTGTGCGTAGTGTTTGGGAGTGCACAGTGAGCCAGGGGCTCTGGATTTCCTGAGTGGAGAATGTGATTGAGCAGGTAGGTGCAGTTGGCCTTTTACTACCTCTGTAGTTAACTGCTTTGACTGTTTCTGCCTTCTCTTTTCTGGCCTTCTGCTCCTGTTACATAATCTGATAGCTGCTTCTTCCTCTTTTTTTTTTTTTTTTTTTTTTTTTTAATGGCTTGCATCTCAAAGAGACTACACATGCTATGCATGTTGGTTAGACTTTGGACTTTTGTTGCTATTTTCCTGAACCCAAGAATCTGAAAGTCCAGTGTTTTCTCTGCTTAGTTATTTTTCTGTTCAACTCTCTTCTTTCAGGCCTCCCAGTAAAGGTGGATGCAGGAGACAATGTGTGGGCAGTGAGGAGCAAGCCGAGCCAGTTGTAATTCTAGATCCTGTTTCCACACATGAACCCCAAACCAAAGACCAGGCTGCTGAAAAAGACCCAACTCAGTGCAAGGAGGGAGGAGGTGAAATGCAACCGGAACACAAAGAAGACGGCAGTAGGAAAACGGGAGAGATGGGCAGTTCCAACTGCTGATCTGAAGCCGGAGGCTGGCATGTTTTTGCGAGTCTTTCTTTGTTATTAATTAAGCACACGGTTCATTTGGGTGTACTGTCTAGGACTGTCGGACAATCCTTTGCTCTGGCCACACACTTCTTTGTTGGTATCACTTTGTAAGTAGCGATTATAAGCATAAGTAAGCTGTTTAGCAACATGCATCTTCTGGGTAGTTTTTGATCTTTACAGGGGTAAGGGTTCTTTCTGGTTTCTATATGAAGTATGACTTCCTCGGGAAGGTGGCAGGAAACTCAGATGTTGTCATTGTAGGGAGTGTGCAGACTACTCTTCAAATTTAGTCATGCTGAAATTCAAGTGGTTGCCAGTAATTGGGTAAATGGAGGCCACCAAACTTAAAAATACTTAAAAATGATCTTAAGAGGCACCCTTTAATCTAACTTTTTTCTATGTGCAGCCCTAGCACCAGGGAGACTTAGGCAGGAGGATCGTTGGAGCCTGGACTTCAGTTTGGGTCACATTGCAAGACTCTATCTAAAGAAAAGTCCCCAAAGGAGCTTCTGTTTGGGTCTGGCCATTTGATGGGGAAACCGAAACAGGCAGCACCTCTATTTTGTGGGTGCACTGAGACCGCCCACAGTGTAGGGTTTCAGAGGTGGCATCCAGCTTCAAGGTCTCTGAGTTGTTACTTTGTGAAATGCATGCAGGTGCCTAAGGCTTGCCAAGGACTTCAGGAGTAATGATGGGTTGCTGAGAATTGAAACAGAGTTTAAAAGGAACACCTCAGTAAACCATACTTTCTGTTCCACGAGTTAACTGTGTTTCCCATACACTCATGTGGTGCAGGTACCATATTTTACTCCAGTTCATATGCACAGCAAAGATAAGCAACAAGCACACATTTTTTTTTTCTTGCTTCACTGCAGTTCTGTATTACATGAGTCCTTTTTTTGTTTTGTTTTGTTTCATTTTTTTTTAGAGGAAATTAAGTGGCAGTTTCTAAAAAGTACAATGTTTCAGACTACCATAGTGAATAAATAGAAATGTAATCAGGGATTTAAAAAAAAAAAAAACACACACAACTTATGCAGGTTTTCAAAGTTGATTGTTTCAAAATTGGTGTTTATTTAAAATAAGTGGTAATGTACTTGAATGCACTTTTTATGATAATGATTCAGTAATGGTAATTTTACTATTAAAGAAAGTGAAAGGCTTAGTTTTGTTAGCATGACTCAGCATGTAGCTGTCAGGTGCTCTGCACCTAAGGGCAAAAGAAAATGATAGTAACAATTGCAGTAGTTGTGTCCTATTGTATTTTTGCACGTGTGCTGCTAGTGTAGGCTTGAGGAGGTGGGGGGGGGCAGATGGAGCACTTCCTCAATTTGAAGACAATTCTCTTCCAGTAGGTTCACTAGGCTTGACTGTTTCTATGTTCCTTCAGCACCGATTTTATCACTCGCTATCAGTTCACTCATGGGGAATTAAAACGTGATTTGTTTTTTTTTTTTTTTTAACTGTGTGTTTCCATAACTGAATGATATGCTAACTACGAATGGATTAATTTGTTTAGATGGGTTCTGTTATGCTGTGATTTGAGCTCTACTCAACACAACACATTAAAGGAGACACAACAACAGTTTCTCACTAAGGGTCAGTTGTGGTTATTGACGTGTTGGAGCTCTCTAACCCAGAGGGATGCTTTAGTAGGATCCTGCTTCTTATACGCAAGGCAAACCTTCTGCTACTGTCCCACCTCCCCAGCCCCAGGCTGAGCCAATCTTGCCCCTCGTCTGTAGAAAAGTGATTTGAGCAGGTGACATCAGTGGGCTTCATGAGGCAGCTCACCTTGAGCGTTCTCTTCCATGCTTCTGGGATCTGCCACCAGGTTGCTGCTGTGCATCTTACACACATCTAGGCATATGAAAATAGGCCAGCCACCTTTCTGTATTATTTCATCGCACAGATAGATCCACAGAATGGCAGGGTTTAAAAGCACAGGAGTTAACTGCTGGGTGAAACATGCTGGCTGGCCCAGCTGTCTGTCCGTACCTGGTGCTTTGCAAACATCTTTGCCTTTCATACTTCTAAAAATGTGCTTTCTGTCCCTGTGACCACACAGCCTTGCAACTGACTGTGATACACGCTCGTCCTATGTAGTTTTTCTAGTTTCACCTCAGCTCTAAGGTTCTGCCTTTTGCCAGGGTGACTGACAGCTGGTAGAGCGGGCGGTGCGTTGTATCTCCAAGGTGAGCTCTTGGATGTGTGCACAGGAAGTCTTCTTCTGTGTATTCGACTCTCATGGTCTTCCCGGTTGGGAGGGACCACATCTCTCTTTTCTCTAGCAGGACAATTATTCTGTTTTGGGTCTCTGCTGTAGCTCTCTCAACTGCCTCTGACACTTGTAAAGAGGCATGGGGGGGGGGGCTTTGTGCTGTCCAGTCTCCTCTGCTGGGGGAGAAAGGACATCACTCAAATGCCCACAGCCTCAATGTCTGAGCAAGTCCCATACAAACTCCCATCACAGTTGGAAGCTTTCCAGCCTGTGGCATCTGCTTGACGGGAGTCACAGGGGCCACCAGCACCCAGCAGGGAGGGGTGTGCTATGGCTTCGCCCAGTACCTCCTTCCTTACTTTCATGGACAGCGAGAGGGTTGTGGCATGGGGAAGGTCAACATGACCATGGATCATCCTTCCAGACTGCTTTAGGCTGTGTATTGGGCAAGTGGTAGCAAAGGCCCACAGTGTTCGAATCACTTCCTCCAGGGAGTAACATGAGCAGCTGTAGAGGATGGGTGGCCCATTTGTCACCGCTAAGCGAGCCCCGGGAAGGCTTCCTCTCCATCTCACGCTTTCCCATCTCAGTCACTTTTAATCTAGGCTATGGCTAACTCCTTCCATCTCCTTATAGGTAATATATGCATTCTATAAGCAAGGAAAGGAAGGAAAGACGTATGTGAATAAGAAAATGAATAAGTAATAATTAGAGGCCGGCGCTTAACCCTCTAAGTCCCTAGCCACTGGTGCACAGTCCTTGGGTGAGGCTAACGTGAGCAGTGTGCAATCTTGGCTGACATTAAGGGACTGACCTGGTTATTACTTAACTCTGGTTTCATTGATTAGACGTATATCCATTGTAAGGTATGCTCACATCGTGTGTGTGTGTGTGTGTGTGTGTGTGTGTGTGTGTGTGTGTGTGTGTGTAACTGCTAGGGCCAGGTGAACACCTTTGTCTTATCCATCCTGACTCTAAAAATAGATTTTCCTTTCAATTTTTTCTGCCCCAGTGTTTGTTGATAAGTGGGGGTGGGGAGGAGAGAAGGTTGCCACCACAAACTGTGACACATCTTCCCAAGCTTGGAGTGATGCTAACCAGTCCCCCAGGCCATGCTTCAAAAAGAGTCTGCCACTGGGCCCATCTCAAATCGCAGTGCTGAGGGGAGGGGCTGGTTCTCCTGTGAGGACATGATGATCCCTTGGTCACTCTCTTCAAAGCAGACTCTTTTAAAAACCCAACTGAAATAGTTCTGCTACCGGCCATGCTATGCTCTCTGTGCCTGAGTGTGTACTTTGGTCCTCCGGGACTCTCAAAGGGGTGCATGTGTCTCCACCACGGACCTGCCGTCCTCTCCTCTTTAACCACTTGCTGCCCCTTCTTCATGCTGTGGCAAAAATAAAGGGGGCACGGAACAACGGTAACGGTCAGGACCTTCATTTAAGAGTGTGCTTATTATTAAGTTGTACACACCTTTGTTCCAGGAAGGACCTAAGGAGGAAAATAATACAGGAGCGACGAAAACACGAGGGAGAGAGGGCATTGGGCAACCAAGTGTAGGAAGCTGAGCCAAAAGTGCTGCAGGGGACAGACACAGGTGCCCCTGCCCCCCATGCACGTGGCTGGGGACGACGGAAACCACTTGAAGCTGGCAGAGGTCCTCACAGAATGGACCTGCTTGTGCCTGCAGCTCTGTGCATGCTGCCTGTGCGCGCAGCACTGAGAGCTGTTCAGGGAGACAGTCTTTTGGTTCTAGAGGTGTTCCGATTTGCGAGGGGTAGGTAAGCTGCATGGCTGGGTGTGGGCCTGGCATTGGAATGTATCGGGTTCTGATGAAGTAGACAGTGGTGCCTGTGCCCCCGGGGCAGTGTGATGGCTGTAAAATAAAGCTCGCAGGACTCCGGATAAAACCGCCAGGGGTATATTTTATCCAACAGTGAAATGGAAAGAATAAAGAGTGCCCAAGTTAGCAGAGTTAAGAGTAGAGCCAGCGTGATGTGGGCGGACAGACGTACATCACGTCACGTCACACCAGCTAGACAACGCCTTTGGGGTTGTGTGCCCTGGAGCCCAGCCCCGCGGGGTTCATGTTTTAGCTGATTCCTCCACCTCTGTGGGGAACATGGAGTCCAGGGGCCCAAGAGTTTCCTCGGCCATCGTGGCGGTAGCCTCCTGGGTCTTTTCAGCGTCCTCTTGAAAGGAGGAGAAATTGTGTTCCTCACTGAAACCTATTTAAGAAGCCAAAAAGAGAAAAGTTCACGGTCCTGATTCCCATGTGTGTATCAACGCCACACCCATCCAGAAAGGTTCCAGACGCCCACAACAGCCTGTCACTTGCTCCCTTCTGATTGTGTTACACCTACTGTGACGTTCAGGACATTGGTGTATACCAGCAAAGCCCAGCCCTGCACATGAATACGAACGAGTACCAACTACCCCAGGGGAAACCAAGGCACACAGGGGCTGTCCCAGGCAGAACCTCATGCAATAATGACCATATTGCAGTGGCTGACATTTTGCCAAGATTGCCTCCTCAACAGTGGGAGTAGAGTTATTTATTTTTGCTAATTTGGGGTGTTCTTGGTATCCATCTAACAGCTTTCGGGAAATCCATTCTAGAATGCCAGAGGCACCCTGGCCTAGCACTTCAGAAGGGGCTGGGCCTTGGGTCTACCAGGGTTCTGAAGCAGCAGTTTCTCGGGGACTGGAAACAGGAGAGGTCTTTGAAGGCCCCACAAAGCAGAATGACAGAAGATGACCTGATACTTCCAACAATATGTAATTCAGCCTACTGGGGAGGACGAACCATTGTATCACCCAGGAAACAACACAGGCTAAGCTTTGGACTGCCTTCAGAAGTGAGTATTTAGTAAACTCTCCAACAGGGACACAAGAAGTTCCCCGTGCAGATTTACAAAGTTTGGGTTTCATAAACGGTCGGTTGCTTTCGTGTGTGTGTCTGTGTGTGTGTGTGTGTGTGTGTGTCTGTGTCTGTGTGTGTCTGTGTGTGTGGGGGTGAGTGTATGTGTGTGGTTGTATGTGTGTGGGGTGTGTGTGGTGGGTGTGGGTGTATGTGTGTGTGTGGTGTGTGTGTGAATGTATGTGGGGGAGTGTATGTGTGTGGGTGTATGTGTGTGTGGTGTGTCTCTGTGGGGTGTGTGTGACTGCGTGTGTATGTGTGGTGTGTGTGTGGTGTGTGTGGTGTGTGTCTGTGTGGGGTGTGTGTGTGTATGACTGTGTGTGTATTTGTGTGTGTGTGACTGCATGTGTATGTGTGTGCGTGGTGTGTGTTGGTGTATGTGTGTGTGTGGTGTGTATGTGGTGTATGTGTGTGTATGTGGTGTATGTGTCTGTGTGTGGTGTGTGTGTGTGGGGTGTGTGTGGGGTGTGTGTGTCTGTGGGGTGTGTGTATGACTGTGTGTGTGTGTGTGTGTGTGTGTGTGTGTGTGTGTGTAACCTAATTCTCTCTGTGGCACCAACTTAGAATCAAGGTGCTGCCTACTTGTGGGACCTGGAACAAGTTGTCTCCAGGAGGGACACATCTGCCTGTAACTGACAGGGGCTGTGCAGAGAAACCTTAAGTATAATTTGGGCCATAACAAAAGGCAGGCTTGGAGATTCCAATCAATTAATTCTATTGAAAAGCACCAAGCGGCCAATTCAGCCAGAAGAAGGGTGGTGAGAGCCTTAAGCATTCAGGTAAATAGATAATCCATTAAGCCAACAATGGGCATTGTGGCGAGTGCCATCCTGCTCCAGTCAGCACTCATTTGTAGCCTTTGGATTGCCCCGCCCTCCTGCCGAGGGACTTCTATTCCCTCCCTTCCAATCTTTGTTCCCTTATTCACGGCTAAGGGAAAACAAAGGAGAAAGCAGCACGTACCCCATGTTCCGCTCTGGATGAGTTCTTCCTCTATAGTACAGAGACGGTTGTATTTGGTCACCCGTTCACCCCGAGAAAGACCCCCCAACTTGATAAACCGGGCACCGAGTCCAACAGCCTGGAGTGGGGGGAAGAAGTTATTTTAAACAGGAGAGCTTCGGTTTTAAGCAGCCTTTAACGAGGAAGGAATCTGCTGCAGGGTTCTGTGAGGGGGGTTTCTCCTCATCTTTATGGAAGTTAAGTGGCCTGCTGGCAAGCTCAGCACTGAAGGGCAAACAGATGGTGTGCCTGACAGACCAGTTTACTAGTTCTGAGAGTGCGCAGATCCGATTTCGCCGGAGCATGGCCTGGCCTTTCGCACCCCATCTCAGGAGGGAAGATTGAAAGTGTACACCTCACTCATTTTATCGTGCCCGTCATTTTCCCTGGACTTCAATTTTGCCTCTTTTTAAAAAGTTCAAAGATTAGCGCTTTGCAAAAGGGAGCTGTCTGGGCGGAAGCAAGTCTATTTCATAAAAGGTTACTCGACTTTCTCCACCAAAGGCTGCATTTCCCTGAAACACCAATTCATCATAAAAGCGGTGTCTTGGCAGTTCTGCAATTGACAGTCGTTCTGCACTTACCAGATCGACCAGGCTGTCATCAGAGGACTCTGCTTCTGTGCTCCCGAAGATGGCCAGCTGCCTCTTAGCTGCAAGAGCAGTTCCTGTCAGTCATGGTGGCTCACAAGCAGTCCACACTTAGGGAGGGTTAGGACTCTGATCAAAACTACAGGTTTCCTAGAGATTTCAGTGTTTCTGGGGATGAACGGACTATCTAACCACTTAAGCATCTGCGTTTTTTACAGCCCTGGCTGCATCTGTTTACTTCTTCTAACCCTGACGTGCTGATAAAAAAAAAAAAAAAAAAAAAAAAAAAACACAAAAACTGGGTCAGAGGAAATGTTCCCTGGGTAGAAACACTTGCCACACCGGCGGGAGGCCGTGAGTTTGATCCCTGGGGCCCCTGTAGAAGCTGCACACAACACCACTAACGTCTGTAATCCCACAGTAATATCAGCATTTTCACAGGGAGAGGAGACAGGAGGAACCTGGGGAGCTCCGAGGACAGCCAGCCTGGCCTATGCAGTAAGACAAGAGACTGCTTCAAACAACGTGGAAGGAGAGGGCCAATGCCCGAGGCTGTCCTTGGGCCTGCACATACACACGGCACATCAACAGGCACAACCACAAAGGCACATATTATTACATTTAAGACATTGTAGGGTTATACAGTATTGTTACTATTAGAAGGACGGGGGAGGGGGGAAAGGAGGGTGCTCAAATCAGACCAACTTTTTACGGCCACAGCTATGACATTCAGCTCCATTGCTGTTCCATGTAGAAGAATGTGTTTCAAGGCCACGGGCTGCAGAGTTCTTCCCTGGCACAAGCAACGTTCCCAACTCCCACTGGGGGATATCTACTCAAAGCAATGTTTTTTTCTGGATATGTCAGAGTTGCTAGTGACTATACATTTGAGGGTCTCAAAACCCCTTGGAACTTGCCAAGGTCTACAAAAGGCAGAGTCTGCGGTTTTTTTCTTTTTTTTTTTTTTTTTTTTTTTGTTTTTTGTTTTTCCCACACAGGAAGCTTTCGCCACCTACCCAGTTCTGCCAGCCCACCTTCTGACACCTGCCCCGTCCCCCTGGCTGCCAGGATGGTTCTGAGACTGTCCTTTTGTCTAGCTGACATCCCTGACCTGACGGTGGTATCTGTGTCAGGTACTGCGCATACGTGTACAGGACAGCCATGACCTCGCTGGATTTACACGTCCTTGGGGAATCTCAGCCCTTAACCGCACAAGTCTTCATAGTTATACCACAGAGAGAAGATACAGGTTGCTATTGCTGCGATGAAAGTTCAGAGCGGAATCATTAGGGGTCGGCGGGTCAGGTGTGGTGTGAACATTAGCACAAGTCCATTTAAGCCAAAACTTGAAGGATGAGGAGGAGCTGACCGAGTGAACGAATGGCGAGGCAGAGCCTTAGAGTCAAAGGAATGGCAGGCACGTCCTGACTTTGGAAAGGAGCAAGTGTAGGCAAGTGGGGTCACCGAAGGTCGAGGGAAGTTTTAACTTCTACAGACCTCCATCTGCATCAGGAAAATGGAGTGAGCAATGTGGATTATTCCTGCTGTGAGGATTTACCCCAGGGCTGAAATGGCTGCCACCCCTACTACCCAGCTGCCCTCTCCGGTGCTCCAAATCCACCAGTGGTGACCTCTTGGTCACTTGTCATCCCTGGGGCCCTGGTCTTGGATCCTGCTCCTTCCAGATTCCTGGCTAGGGACCTGCATCCAGATGTCTTCTTGATGCTATCTATCTATCTATCTATCTATCTATCTATCTATCTATCTACCAACCCACAGGCAGCTTCCTGGGACCACAGTTATTGAGCCTCCTTCCTGCTCCAGGTCTTCATGCTGACCAAAACAAAACAAACAGACAGACAAGCAACAACAAAAAACAAATCTGCTTCTCTTAAATGGGACCTTCTTGCCATTTCCTTAACTGTTCAGATAGACTGATTCCCCTCTCTAAGGGTGATCTAGCTCCAAACTGTGCCCAATCCCAGGCTTCCCTGTGCCAGTGTAAAGTAAAATGGGCCTGGGAGGTCTGGGTACGTTACAGGCAATTGAGTTTCAGTTCAGTTAATTGCTACACCCTTACTAGGGCAGTGTCTACATGGAAGGATGGAAATTCACCCTTGCACATAGAATCCCCTGGACTCATGGAGGAAATGGATCTTATTGTTAAATTAATTGTGTGTGACCACGTGGGTACATGTGTATGTGTAAACTAGCATATATACGTACATGCATGTATGTATGGAGGCCAGAGGACAGTCGGGATCTGTCATTAGCCTAGAATCTCACCGAGCAGGCTGGATTAACCTCCTGTCTCTAGCTCCTGTTGCGCCTTAACTGTGATTGCATTCACTTGACCTTTTTTACGTGGGTTCTGGGGACTGAACTCAGGTGCTCGCGCTTATGACCAAACATACTGGCGGGAAGCTCACAGGGCCTTGGCCGGGCATGGCAGGCTAACACATCCAGCCTCCCTCGAAGTGCTTGGTGTCCCACCTGAGCCAGAGACCTGCACTGTCTCTGGTGACGAGGCCAAGGTACCAGGTATTTCCCAGAGCAAGACGCAAAGTTTTAGACCTGTTCTTTAGCAGTAAGGGCTGGGTACTCCTTCTGAGTATCTGGTATTCCTCGGAACCCCAAAGTAACAGGCTAAAGCAAATAAATAGACGGGTGTGCCAAGATGGCTCTGCCCTCTGGAAGGGAACCAGGCTTCCGTCCCTCTGTTAGGGGCAGAAAGCCCAATGCGAAGCTGACAGCCGTGGTGATCAGTGGAAGGGTCTAACCGCGTGGACTAAGGCTGCCACAGAACAACATGGTGCCAGGTGCTAAGCTGGACTCAATCCCCCACCAATGGCTGGACTTTCTTTGCTGAAGGATTTAACCCTCCATTTTTGTTAACTTGGACATACTGTGTGGGTTTGGCTTCTTCCATAAACAAGCCATTATTATGGGTCTCTCGGGTAGATATTTTACTCACCGTCAAGAAGATGGGTTATTTCCACCAGGTCCGACATTGTGGTTTGGTTTGTGTGGCTTATGACCAGCCCATGGGATCTGGGGGTGCTGGTATTTCTGTGCTCTAGGAGCTTGGAGACGCTTCTGCAAGCAGCCCCTGCAATTATGTAGCACCTGGTAGCAAGGGCGTTATAGAGGCTGTCCCACTGTTCGGAGTCCTGGGCAAATATGTAAGAGTTGGTCATTACAGTGCACTGAATGCCATCACAAAACAAAAGGAATAACAGCACATAATCAAGTCATACACTTTCTCTGAAACACATAAAATATTTTCCTTGCCTTCTGAGCCCTGAGGATTTCTGTATACCATTGTCATACAAATTAGCAAGCTTTGTGGAGAGAAGTTTCCAAGTAATTTAATTTGAGCCTAAAGATCTTGTTGGGGAAACACACACACACACACACACACACACACACACACACACACACACACAATAACCAAGTTATCTTAGCTACTAGACCAGATTTCAAGCCATTCCACATTTGCTGATGTGCAGGTGGGTCCTTTCTCTCTGGTCAGCCTCGGGACTGTCCTTTCAAGGCTCAGTGAAGCCCTGAGTTCAGCCGTATTTTTGGGGGGTGCTGAAAGTATTCCAGGCTGTGAAAGGGAGCCCCGAAACTCCAAATCGGATCTAGCTTTCCTATTGCCTTGAATCTAACTAGCTGTCTCAGAGAGGATATCTATTCCATATACAGATGGTACTCAAATTCATAAAAATCAAGAATTCACATTTTGGATGTGGCCTTCCATGGCCTTTGCATGGCCCCGTGTCAGAAGTGTTCATTTGAATGGTGCTGTAAAACCTCGGGGTCTCGAACCTTCTCAAAATGCAGCCACCACGATACTTCGGTGCATGTGTACTAACTGGCCCTAGCCTGGGGGGGGGGATATCTGGCTTTATAAAAGTCCCTGTTTCCATGAGCACATGAAAATGATATATGATTAACCTATCGAAGCACTGGCTCCCACAGCAGGGACAGCTTCCCTCCGTCGGGCTGCTTGTAAATACACAGGTACTCCTGAAGGGCTTGCGACTGGCTCATTTCATTTCACAGACGGGCATGCTCCTAGGTAATTGTGTTTCTGCTATTCATTTGCTTGGTAAGTGCCTTTTCATAAATGCCAAAACAAAGCTGCTCAGCCCAGCCCAGATTACTACACCGTTTCCAGAAACAGGGGTCCAGGAGAATGGGGTTTGCATTCTGCTTTGTTATAGAGTGTGAAAGGTAAGACCTCTCACTTTATCACGTGTGAAATACATGTTGTAAAACAGAAAAAGGTGGAGCCTGCTCACCTCCTTCCTGAAAGGATCAATTAAGGCGATAATGGAGGGATACTTGTTGATCAGATCCACGTACAGGTCCACCATCTCTGCTGTGTTCTTGTGGGAGCCCACCATCACTTCATACTTCCCTTTATTCTGGTGAGAATAAAGAAGGTGGCGCAAGGTAAATGATGGCGTCTTTGGATGGTAAGGACGCCGGTCAGACTCTGTTCCTTCCGGTGGTTGTGCACTAGGCACTAGTGCTTCTCAAGACGCAAAACTGATACACTGTATTTTTTGGGTTGTTGCTAATTCTCTCGTACTTTGTATCCTGACTGCAGCTTCCCCCACCCCCCTTCCCCTTCCCTGCACTTTAAATTTGGTAAGGGGAAGACTCCTGAAGCCCCAGAGAGCTCTTCCCACAGACTTCGAATGATGAAGCCCTCTGTACAAAAGTACGCAGTGAGAGAGGAACAGCTTTCTATTTAGGGTTGTGACATGGTAGTGCAGGCTCCCAGCTGCCTGGGTAGGTGGACAATAACACAAACCTATAGACTGCCACACAGAGCAGCAATGCAGACCTGCCCACTCCAGACCCCGCTGTGGTCTTGAGTGGACTCACAGGGAACTAACTAGTCACTTCCCTTTCTGTAAACACGATGAACTCTGAAACCAGGGCAAAGGTTTTCCGCAAACTGACACCCAGCAGGGAGCAGCAAAAGTCCTGGAAAGGTGGCTCTGCCTCGGGGAACCTGCCACTTGCCCTGAAAGGGGACGGTCCTGGTGCAAGCCTATTCTTTTGATTTCCGCATTAAAGTTTGAGGTTAAATGTGGCCTGAGGATCCAGTTCAGCCCTGTAAGACAAAGCAGCTTGCTCTCAGATCTGTGGGCCCCCTGGATGGCACCTGGGATTCTTTGGTTAGCAAGGGCGTTGGGCTAGGAAGTGGGCGGTTTGCTTTGCTAATACCCTCCTGCTGCTCCAGCTAATGGAACCAGGCTCTTCTGGAGCTAAGCAGGTTCCAAAGACATCTACAGTTAAAAGGATTTTCTACCTTTTTCACATTAATAAGCAGCAAGAAGTTTTAGCTTCTATAATGAGAAGCTTAAAAACCCTGTCTTGTCACTGAAGGGTTGCTAATGACTTTGAACTAACATTATTGTAAGAATTATCTGATATCAAGCTAATAACATTTTACCGAATATAAGCAATAAATGCTCGTTCTTGTTAGCACTAGCAGTCAGTATATTCATAGTTCTGGGTATACGTTACGGATGAAAACATGCAATTATTTTTCTTAACGGTATGCCTAGGAACCAATCATTACACGAAGAATAGGAAATTAACTTTAAACATCCCTTTGTGTGCTTAGTTTCTTTAGAAAGTAAAATAACTTCTAGAAATCAGCCAAAACTTAGGGTTCTTCTATACTGTTCGCATTTTTCTTTGTCAGAATCACAGTTAGGTGAGGTCCTATTTGCCACATCTCCCGAACCGTCAGTAATTACCAAGCTGGCACTCAGGTGCTTCAGTATGATGGGCATTCTGCAAACCTGGAAACCAGCATGGATGCGTCTGAGGATGGCAAGTGTGTACAAGTGTGTAAAACTGGAAACTGACTAGATTCCCTACCGCACACATGCCCAGGCATAGAGGTGAACTACTGCTGTAGCCTGGGGGAGAGGGGAGGGTCAGATTTAATTTCCTTTTAAAATGTTTCTCTCTGTAGGCCAAGTGATCGACAGGTGATGGTCCAGGCGGGGGACGATGATGTATTTAGTCGGAATAAAACCTACATTCGTCATGAAGTCAACACCTTGGGGATGTGGCTCAGTGGTGGAATGCTTGCCTAGCATGTGTGAATGAGGGTGTGATTTCATGCCCTTTCATGCTTGACAAATTCGGCATTTACCAACACCAAATGCCTTGTGCTCACAAAGCATACCGGACTGTGAAATTATTTCCCGTCGGCTTTCATGATTACATTATAAATCGTGCAATTAAATAGGTTCCTAAGAAGTTAAAAAAAAAAAAAAGAGGGGAATTTTATACTTTTTTCACGTTTAAAACCTTCATTTTATGTGTCCATTTTAATCACAGAATTTCCATGTGTAATCATGTAATAATAATAGCACATTATTTTCTAGTTATTACCTAATTTGGCCTCCTCCACTCCATTTTTTACTTACGAGGGTGTGACGGCATCTGTTCAAAAAAATATTCAGGTGAGTTCTAAGCTAGAAACCGCGGCCTGTAAACAAGGGGCTGCTCTGAGAACTCACATAGTCCATCAACTCGTGGGCGGCGCAGTTGAGAGCCAGGTGCAGGCTCACCCCCAGTTCTAGCCCCAGGTTGGAGCAGATGCCCTGGATGAGAAGCAGAGGCTGCTCTATGGTGTCGTAGTTGACGGTTAGACAGCCCAGGTGGGATATCTTGCCAGTGATCGGCTGCTGCAAAGTCAAGACAGGATGACCTGAGCCTCACAACATGTGGCAGACAAGGGTTTTAAGTGGACAGGGGGTCTCCAAAGATCCACCTACTCCCCCCCCCCTTTTTTTTTTTTTTTTTTTTTTTTTTTTTTTTTTTTGATGATTTCCACTTTTAAGCCACCTCGCCCCCGACTCTGCTTGGGGCATTTCACTCCCCAACATCAACCGCTTTTGTTTCTTCCATGCGTCTGGCTCTGCCCTTGTTCTTTGGGCTAACCTGAGCCGCCAATTACCAGGCTATCCCTGTAAGCATCTTGGATCTCTAACTCCCTCCACTTCCAAGCCTGCTATCTTATGTTCTGGTTTATTCTAGGTGAGCGCCGTTGCTAATTTTCGTTTCTTAGTTAGTGCTAGCAAGATAACTCAGTAGGAAAGGCACATCCCACCAAGCCTGGCACCCAAGTGCCACATGGTGGAAGGAGGGGACAGACTCCTCTGAGTTGCCCTCTGACCTCCCCGGGTGGGAACACTGCCTCTGTCCTTCTCTGTCGGTTAATGATACTACGAATACCTAGACTGCCCTCTGCCACTCTACTATTGATGCAGACAGCCTCTCTCCCAACTCTTCCACCTGGGAGGTCAGATCCAGTCCTGCTCACTCATCATAAAGGCTGCCTTACGACCTGGCCATTTCAGCTAATGCGCACACTGCACTCGGGAGGCAGAGGCAGGAGGATCTCTGAGTTCGAGGCCGCCCTGGCTTACCTGGCCTCTTTTGCCTCCATCATGCCCCTTTTTGGTCTCTGGTTTTGGAGGGGGGAGCTGTGGGAGATAAAGGGGGAAAAGGTGTCACTTGCTACTTTCAGACCGTTCCACGGGCAGCAAGCAGAGCCGTGGGCTTGCTATTCTTAGGGGACGTGAATCTCACTCCCGTTCACGTGCACGGGAAGTTAGCATACACACCGGGGTCATTGCAGACACGCCCTTCTAGAAGCCCCTAACTGTTTCTCAGACACACTCAGGTCCATGTTTAGGCGGACCTCCTCTGCCGTTTACCCACTGCACACAGATTCTCCTCCAAGCACGCAGCTCACAATGGGACTCCCGGTGTGAGTGCAGCTGCTTCCGGGCAGGAGAGTACCGAAGCTTCTCCCAACCTCAGAACCTCTGCTTGCCGCTGTGGGATTTGCTTCCACAGCCCCAATGTTCTCAGAGTAGAATCAGGGTGTGTTTGATTTTTTTTTTTTTTTTTTTGTGGAGAGAGCCAAACGTCATGAAATACTTCATAAATCCTAAAGGGTGATCTTAGCAAAGAGTCAGTGTCTCGGGAACTAAACTAGGTCACAGGTGGTTTCAACTCCACACAAACCCAGCGTCACATAGGAGGAGGGACCCTCAGCTGAAGAGCTGCCCGGGTTAGCCTGGCTATGGCTGTGTCTGTGAGCCATTTTCTTTCTTTCTTTTTTTTGAGGGGGGCATTTGAAACAGGGTTTCTCTGTATAACAGCCCTGGCTGCCCTGGAATTTGCTCATACTCAGAGATCCACCTGCCCATCTCCTAAGTGCTAAGATTAAAGGTGAGCCTCACACCGCCACCTGGCTGTGAGGCTTTTCTTAACTGTTAATTGATACAGAAGAGTTCAGCCTACCGTGTGTGTGTGTGTGTGTGTGTGTGTGTGTGTGTGTGTGTGTGTGTGTGTCCATCCATACACTGCTCCCCTAACCCACCTTTCCAACGTGCCTTTTGCACCCCTCCCGTTAGGACAGTCGTCACCCTCACACCTCGGAGCTCCCTTTGCTTTCTCCTAGTCCTTCCTGGTGTCTAGTCACCTACCTAGAGGCGCCCTCTCCTCTCCTACCCACTCCACCACGACCATCCTGGCTGTATCTGTACAGTGACACCCTCCTCCCTCACCCTGATGATTTAAACAGGCCCAGCATTGCTGGTTATATTTAATGGACCCGAGATAATGTGAGAGATTTAGAAATGATTAAATGTGCAAACTATGTAAACAAAGGAAAGTAGCTGAACAACCTAGTGGAGACCGTAAGCCAGTAAGCAACCCACGTCTTCAGTTCCAGGTTCCTGCCCTACTGTCTTCAGTGATGGATCGGGGTCTGGAAGTGGAAGCCAAATAAACCCTTTCCTCCCAGGTTGCTTTTTTTAGTCATGATGTTTACTGGGGCACGAGAAAGCCAGCTAGGACAACTTGGTTCTCCACAGCAACAACAGCAATGCTGATTTAACCCCCAAATGAACTACCAGCTGGATTGAGTATCAGTAATTACCTCAGCCTCCCTTTACATACCGTCTCCATCACTCTGTTAATTTGTTTCTGAATTTCCAGAAGCAACTCTATACCCTGCAAGTAGAACAGCCATGGTGTATAACTTCAGTCTGCAGATTTTAAACTTGACATTCACACCCGGTGTTTGCTGAGAGTGTTCATGGACTCCCTACTGAGGTAGTGGATGGGATGGGTGGTCTACACAATGAGAAGAAAAATGGTAATCTCTGACACACACATGCACGTGCGCGCACACACACATGCACACACACACATGCACACACACATGCACACCCGATGGCTTGAGCGTGAGTGACAGGCTCTGCCTTGGCATCTTCATTGTGAAAACTGGATAACCATTCTTTATCACAGCCTCTCAACACAGCAATATATGTCACAGGTCACCAAGGAGGCCTGGCTAGAGTAGTTTTGAATCCCGTTACTTAAGGGTAGGACACTGGGGCTGGAGAGATGGCGCATCTGGAAAAGAGCATGTTCTTGCAGGGGACACGGGTTCAGTTCCCAGCATCCTCAGAACAGCTGACCATTGTCCGCAATTCCATCTGCAGAGAACCCGGCACCCTCTTGTGGCCTCCTCAGGCACCGTCTAGACAGGGTGGCGGGGTACACGTGCAGGCACAACACCATACACGTAAAGTAAACATAAATGCATCTGTAGGAGGAGGAAGGGGAGGACATTTGCACATGAAGATGAGGGCCGCACTCAGAGTGCCCGAAACCCAAAGAGCGCAGCCGTAGTAAGTACAAGAGGGATCCGGCCATGCGGTCGGAATGTGACCCGACAAGACGACCTGAGCGTCTCGTGTAAACTCTAGTTTCCTGAAAATGGAAATGGTGAGGTAATGACAATTTTGTCTGAAAGGCACCCGTTTCCACGAAGAAAGCTAGTGAAACTTCCATGGAGCTTATTTTCAGTAAGTTAGGAAAAAAAATCTCACTCGTGCAGGAGGGGTGGTAGGGGGAAGCTTCCTCTCCGCTTCTGATGGTGTTCGTCATAGCATGAACCTTAGGTAGTTATTTCTAATGCCTAACTGGCAGAGGACTCGGGGGGGGGGGCGTGACTCTCTGTGGGCACTGAAGGGCAATGTACACCTCACCAGCACATCCCAAGAGGGGAACCTGACACCGGATGCATTCATTTCACAGGCGAGCACCAAACACCCTGTGGGCGCTGGCCTGGAGTTCTTACTTAACAGGGTAGGTTGCTGGGAAGCGCAGGCTCCTGCTGCAGCCAGCCCCTTAGGTAAAGAAGATACTCCTGTTACTTTATACAAGCCTGGCTCCTGTGAGATGCTCACATGAGCCAGCCATGGCTGCACCAAGCCAGACCTCTAAGAGGTTCTGTTTCCTTTGATTTGTCCTGCTTTCTCCGCGCCCATTTCCTAAAATTTCATGTGTTTAATTCGCTTTCTCTCGGTCTACACTAAAAATTCACCAATGGTGGAAGATATTGGGGAGGAGGGGCGGGCGGGCGGGCAGGAAAACTATCTTTAGCTGATTATCGGGTACTTGTTTGGTTGTTAATCCAGGATGGGGTATGCACATCACTTCTTTCATTAGATTTAGCTTCCCGGGCGACGACTTCCCACAGCTGAGTACAGATCCCATCAGCAAGGGCATGGAGAACATCGGTGGCAGCTCCTGAAACAGGGAAGCGAAGCAGGGGACCGTGGGGTGGGAATGGCAGTCGGCCGCCCCCCCCCCCCGCCACACCCCAGGCTCCATGCAGCAGCGTAGCGATGGGACGCAACCGTCACTGACCTGGCCGTGCTTCAGTGAGGCGAATCTCAGGTACAGAGGAATACTGGCCAGGCTGGCACTCGCTTTGGCAACAGCTAGGGACACAGCTCCTATGGCCATGCTACCGTGGAGCACTGGTTCGGGGGGCTCTGCCGGTACGATAGGCTTCTCCAAAAGGGTGTCCCTCCGTCCTAGAGGGCAAGCATAGGCAAACCATTTTCTTTGAATGCTGCACTCACAGAAGACCCCCCCTCCGCCACCGCACAGACTGAAGAGAACCCCAAGGCTGGGACTCTCCTCCTCCTCCTCAGATTTGTTCACTTGGCCGTGGATTCCGCCTGATGAGTTTTAGGCCATGCACCATGAACTTGGTCCACAATCAGATGAGGTCGATGTTGCTACACCCACATTTGCAGGTAACCAGACTGAGATTTGTTGCGGCTGAGAGACCACAGCACAGTCATTGGCCAAGACTGTTAGGGGATATCCAGCCACACTGTGAACCCCGAGTTTGCACTGGCGTTAATGAAATAAAATCAACCTTGGATCGAGAGGCTGAGTTAGCAACCAGTTGACAGAAAGTCATCATAGAGCGGGGGGGGGGGGTTTGGGGGCATCTGGGAGAGACAGAGAGGCACACAGGAAGTAGCAGGGCGGGGCTTTGAGTGGTGTGGCTCACGACATACACACTTTTGGGGAGACGCCGGCAAGCACAGAATATTCGTTAGTTGCTGCTCAACCTCTCTGGGCCAGCGGGTTTTCACCCCAGCCTTTGACTCTCGAGTCTCATTTATAAATCGAGTGATAGAGATTCAGTTAAAGCCACCGTGAGCAGCAGCGGAGGCTGCCACAGAGCCAGTGCCTGTGGGAACGGAATTCCCACCAGGCTGCAGCCTGCACCACTGGGCTGCTGCGGGAGAAGCAGGCCTATAGCTGCAGAGCTGCAGTTGCTGACTAAAACAGCAGTGGACTGAGGCGCAGGCACTGCGGAGGATAAAACGTTAACACGTGTTACAGGCGGTCCACCCGGACTTGACTTAAGAGTCTTTGAATTCCAAACCCTCCATGCGTTTGCCTAACTTGCTGTCTTTTTCTCTAAACCCAAAGCCATGCTTTGTTCTGTGTTTGGCTGTCAGTCTACCCAGAATCCTCACCCCACCCCATCTCAGCCACCCAGTCTCTTCAAGCCTCCCCGAGCCTCCAGTTCTTCTCCACAGCTCCCTTGGTCCTCAGGGGGAGAGGAGTCACACAAGCACCCAGCATAGTTAGTACTGAGCAAATCCCCTCTCCGTCTGTACTTTCTCCCTCCTTAAGCTCTCAGTTCCGAGTCAAAAGCATCTGCCCAGTGAGGTTCCTCCGTGGATCCCATCTGGGGCTCGGCAGCGTCCACGCCCTCAGGGAAAAGAAGCATCTAACGGAATTCTTTTGCTGAGGGCGGTTCTATTCCCCTCTCTGAATCTGAGCGGCAGAGACAATGAAATGAGGGACCTTATTCCATCACCTCCCTCAGTTCCTTCCTGGCTCAGTTTTCTTGTCGTCTCCTCTTCCTCCTCTTCCTCTTCCTCCTCCTCATTTCTCCTTCCTCCTTCCTTCCCCTCCTCCTCCTTCTTCTGCCTGTCCCGGAACTCTCTCTGTAGACCAGGCTGGTCTTGAACTCACAGAGATGCGCCTGCCTCTGCCTCCTGAGAGCTGAGATTAAAGGCGTGCGCCAGCACTGCCTGTCGCGGCTTGGCTTTTGACTGCCTCGTGGAAACTTCCAGGGAGGTGCAAGCCCCTGCCTTCCATGCAGCCACCCCCTCTTACGTTTCTCCCACTGCTACTGTTTATGCCATTTTATTCCATAAGTGCTCCCCTATGAATAAGAGCGCAATCACTTTGCTTCTCAAGTCAAATGGAGGGAGAAGTGGGACAAAGCCCTTCACCACCCAGCATGGCAGTGTCAAGGGAGGAGGGTTGCACGTGGCTGGGGTTGCACGTGGCTGGGGGTTGCACGTGGCTGGGGTTGCACGTGGCTGGGTTGCACGTGGCTGGGTTGCACGTGGCTGGGGTTGCACGTGGCTGGGGTTGCACGTGGCTGGCACTGCCCACCCCAAAGTCCAGCTCCCCCCCCCATACCTTTGCAATGAAAGGCGTTGGGAGGTGGCAGGCCGCTCACCTGGCTTCTGTCCTTTCTTTTTGGTGGGAGGTGGGGGAGGAGGTGGTGGGACTGATGGTGGAGGTGGGTGCACTGGCTCCTCAGGGCTCTTTTCCAGTTCTCTTCTCTCTTTATCTTCTTGTACTTTATTTTCAAAGAATATCCTGAGCGGCAAGAAATACAAGACTTTACAATGGGGCGTCACGCCTTAGAGCTCTGATCCTGACGTGTCTCAGTAATATGAGTTTCTCAAGCTAATGAAATTTTATTTTTTTTCCCCCAAGAGTCAAATTCTTACCATTGAAATTACTTGAGCTCCTTTTTTTTTTTTTTTTTTATACTCTCAAAATGAAATTGAAAGACATAATTTGGTTAAGGGCTACCGGATTTTCTTTTTATGTAAATAACATTGGGAAACCAAACCAGTAAAGAACCCTTGGTGAAAATGGTCACAGTCATCTTTTCCTTTTCTCCTTACCAAGAGATTTATCTTTACGTGTGTGCGCGTGTGTGCGTGTACACGTAGGTACCCGTGAAGGCCAGAGGAGCTGGGGTTACACCCAGCAGCGAGCTGCCCAATGTGAGTACAGGGAACTCACGTTGGGTGCTCTGTAGGAGCAGGATGCACTCTTAACTACAGATCCATCTCTCCAGCTTCCCATCTTTCCTTCTGATGAGGGGAAGGCGTGTGTGACTTAGAATGAGCATGTATAAAAACTTTTGGGAAACCCCTAGTAGACACGGCTGCACCACGTCTCACCTCCTCCCCCATCCTGGAGTAAAAAAGACAACAGGTTCCATAGACCAACAATACATAAACAAACAAATAGGGGAATAAAGACAAACATTCCTGGGGGATCAGATCAGGGTTGCGTTAGATTTACTAACAACCCTGATCTGGTGGGGCGATGCTTTTAAAGAACTGAAGGAAACTGATTAATTGAACAGAACGGAAAATTCTGTGCTCCGCCCAACTATCAACCATGAGGGCAAAAGTGCTGACACTCTTCATGGAGGAATTTAAAATACTTCACCCCACATCCTCTTTCTCACGTCTCTCAAAAGTCTCCCCTTTCCTTCCTCCATCTGTCTCTCTCTCCCTTCCTCTGAGGAACCTGCCTGACTCCATTTTGAAGGCAGGAGCCATTATACTGCACTGTAAAACACATTTCCATTTACTGTAAGGGCTGGGTTGCTCTCTGTTCCCTGGGAACCAACCTTCCCCGCCTCCTGACCTTGACTTGATTTTGAGAAGAGCCTTACACTCGCTGGCCCTCCCTAATCACATGGGGATCCTCATCACCCCATTGTATCTCTTCTGTAAAACAACTTGTGATAGGTCGGGCTGTGGTGGTAGTGCACGCCTTTAGTCCCAGCACTTGGGAGGCAGAGGCGGGATGATTTCTGTGAGTTCCAGGCCAGTCTGGGCTACAGAGTGAGTTCCAGGACAGCCAGAGCTGTTACACAGAGAAACCCTGCCTCAAAACAAAGTCACACACAAACTAAAAACCAAAAATAAAAAAAAAATAAAAATTTAAAAAATAAAAATAAATCTACTTGTGATTTTACTCCTTAAAAGGGGTCCAAGAAATGGATTAGGGACTGCTCTATTTAACCTGACGAGGAGGCAGTTCCTGGCCAGCTCTTGGATGCATCCCAGTTAAAAAAAAAAAAAAAAAATCGAGCTTGCTTCGAATTTGGTTTTAGATTCTGGTAGTGATCTTAGTCTTGCCTTGGGATTGACACTTTCTGGAGGCCCCCTCCCCAGAGATTCAGACGACTCACCCAAATTCTCAATCCTGACCTTTGCTCTGGAACTCTGGCATGCTCAGGAGGTGCCTGCCCTGAGATGTCCCAAGGCGAAGGCTCCGAGGTTGCCTTCAGTTCATGGACTACTGGGGTGAACTTGTGTACTGAGAAAAGAAAGCAGCGTGCATCCGCAGAGGCCTCCTGGTGAGTTACGGTCTGGTTCTGTTTTGTGGGATCCCTACCTTGGACTTGGAGGGGTTTCAAACGGACCCCTCCGGGGCAAAAACCGAGACATCACCCCGCGCTCCTGAGGGCCTTGGTCAGGTTTTATGTCTTCTCTTTGGGTTCCCTTCACTCTCCTCTTTCTGCGTTTGTACTTACGCGCTAACCGGTTCATTTCGGACTTGGGGTGACTGAACTGATAGACAGTATGGGTGATGAGACTGGCCAGCCTAACAGTTTGGGAAACGATACCCCCGAACATTCTGTGAGACTGAATGGCCCACAGCGGGGTCGACTGGCCCTCCCAGGGCACTTTCCACTCTCATGGCCTGGGCAGCAGTTAGGGTCACCCTCCCTAAGCCTGGCCACCTACATCAGATTGGATACATCTTGCTTGGGCTGAAGCAGCTTCCAAGCCAACCCCCTGGATGACCCACAATGGATGAGGTGGCCAAGCCCTGGTTGTTGGCAGACGGACCCTTTGGGGGCCGGTAGCAGAGACCGACGAGCCCCCTCTGAGAAGGTATTCTTCATGACTCACGGGAAGAAGAATTCCCCTCCCTCTGTATGACCATCTTTACCCTCTTCGTCCCTCCTCTCCTCACCTCACCACGGAGGCCTCGCTCTGCCCCATCTGTGCCTACCTCTACTCCAACACCTACCTCTTCTCTACCTGTCCTACCAGCCCCCAGCTCTTCCCCATCCCCACACCAGACCCACCAATGGCTCCTCCGATTCTGGTCCTGGGGTGGCACCTCCTTCAGTCATTACTCCCCTGTGGCCATTTCCTGACACTCGCTACCGTGTGTCCCTTTCTCCACCACAGATGTTTACAACTGGAAAAACCAGAACCCTCCTTTTAGCACCAGCCAGATTGCTCAATTACGCTAACTGATTCTATCTTTTTCAATCACCTCCCCATATGGGACAACTGTCAGCAGATTCTCCGTAGCCTCTGTCCTACTAAGAGAGCAACCGAAGGGCCCCCTGGAATAGCTTCTTCAGTGGCCGGCGGCGACCAGAGGGCACGTTCTGCCAAGACGGAGACCCCAATGGGACTGCAACACAGAGGGATGTGGGAGGCCGCCCAGTGAATGACGCCAGTTTCTGCCAAGAAGGGATGAAAAAGGCAGCCTGGAAGCCCACTAAGCTATCTAAGGTAGCAGATGTGAACAGGGCCCAGATGAATCACCTTCAGCTTCCCTGGAGCAATTAATATTTGTTACTCAGCTGGCCCTTGACATGTGTAGAAAGATTAAAAAAAACAAAAAAAAAGGTGGGCGGGCTTGTGAGAAAGAACAGGTCAGAACTATTAGAAATGTCCCTGAAGTTGTTCCACAACAGAGACAGCAAAGAAGAGCTTTTGATAAGCCTTGGCCACTTCCAACTCTGCCTGTGCACAGCACGATAGAAAGAGGAGACCTTTACAGAAGGACCAGTGTGCCCACTGCACTGGCAAAATGATTGTGCTGGAATCAGGTAGGTCCCCCCCAAACCCAAATCAATCCTAGCTGTGGAGGATTAGCGAGGCTGAGACTCCTTCCAACCCCAGAAGCCTATGGTAACTTTTGCCACAGGGGGCCAACCTGTAAAATTTCTGGTGGACACAGGGCTCCTAGGACAGGGGGCAATTTATATTGAAGAATACAAATGCACCACTAACTTGAATGTTAACCTAGGACGAGGAACTGTGACTCATTCTTTTATTGTTATTCCTGAATGTCCGTACCCTTTACGGGGACAGAACCTCTCAAACAAGTTCTAGGCAGCAATATCATTCTCGGGAGACTCTCCTAGGTTGCTTTAACCATAACCTGCCCAATACTCAAGGAATATATGCTCCTCAAAAGTCCGGCCTATCCCCTGGAAGGGGGATGGAAAAAGTTGCTAGTCCAGGAAATTCCCACAGTTTGGGGAGAGGAAAATCCTCCTGGCTTGGCAAAACATTATGTCACCCGTCATAGAGCAATAGCACCTGGGAAAATGCCCATTCGAGTCGAGCAGTGCCCACCGGTTCAGAGGCCAGGGAAGGGATTAAGGTTCACGTCAGGCACCTCCTTGGAGCAGGCATACATGTTCCTTGCCTCAGTGAGGCTGGATCACTTCCCTGGAAGTGGAATTGGAGACTGCAAAAACTGAGCCAGCCCACCTTCACATTTGAATGGGCTGACCCTGAACTGGGGGTATCAGGACAACTGACCTGGGGCAGACTGCCTCCTCGAGGGTTCAAAACCTCTCCTGTCCTCTTTGATGAAGCAACTTAACCAGGATTTAAGTCTCTTTCAAAGTAACCTTGACCCAATATGCAGATGATTTATTATTGGCCACTAAAGATGAGGAGGGCTGTTTGAGAGCCACCACAGGCCTTCTGGAAACTCCAGCCCCGTTAGGCTATAGGTTTTGAAATGAAAGCCCAAATTTGCTCACCCTAGGTTACTTACTTGGGATATGAGCTGGGAGAACATAAAAGACTATTGTCCTGGGCCTGCATAGCATCCACACTGCAAATCACAACTCCAACCACCAAGAAGCAAGTTAGGAAATTTCTGGGAGCTGTTGGATATCGCCGTCTTTGGATACCTGGGTTTGCTGAAATGGCCAAACCCTTGTATTCTGTTATGACTGGGGGCGATATCCCTTGGGAATGGACTGAGGAACATGAATAGGCATTTAAGAACTTAAAAGAGACCCTGACATAAGCCCCCTGATATCTCCAAGCCCTTTCATCTCAATGTCCGAGACAGATAGGACATTGCCAAGGGAGTCCTGACTCAGAGCTTGGTCCCTGGAAAAGGTCGATAGCTTACATCTCCAAGAGACCAGATCCTGCAGACTTTGGATGGCCCCTTGTTTAAGAGCCATCAAAGCCACTGCAGTTCTTGTAAAAGAAGCCGACAAGCTCACAATGGGACAGATTCTAACACTAACAGCTCCACACACTGGAAGCCCTGCTGAGAGGCGCCACCAGCAAGTGATGTCTGAAGCCTGTCTGACCCAGACCAAGCCCTCCTTCTACATAAGGACAGACTGACTTTTGATAAGTCCTTGGCCATTAATCCTACTACCCTGCTGCTGGATGGGGACCCTGAGGAGTCCATCCAAGGCTGCCTGGAGATGCTGAATGCCATCTAAGGTATGCAACCATCCAAGGCTGCCTGGAGATGCTGAATGCCTGACCTGACATATCTTTCTCTCACCACCAGAGACACAGAGCTCCATAAGGATGGCACCAGCTTCATTCAAGAAGGAGCCAGGTATGTGCGGCGGTGGTGGTCATGGGCCAGGAGGAGGTCACCTGGTCACAAGCATGACCCAGGGGCACTACCACACAGAGAGCAGAAATAATTGCCCGGTCGGCTTTAAGATGGGCTATGGGGGGAGGGGGAAAGTGAACATCTACACAGACAGCAGATTAGCTTGACTTTTGCCAGGGCTCATGTGTTACAAGTACTTTCCTGGAGTCTGGTCCCAGAGCCTTGTCAGTCTGTCCCAAAATAGCACACAGAGACACTGTATTAGATATAAAGCTGTTGGCCTGTTAGTAGTGTTTCTTATTGGCTAGCTCTGTCTTAAATATTGACCTATTTCTATTAATCTAAGTGTTGCCATGTGGTCTTATCTTACCGGAGAGAGGGTCCGGACCTCTTCTCTCAAGTCCCTACATCTTGACTCCTCCCTACTACATCTTCCAGAATCCTCCTTGTCTCCTAGCCCCGCCTATCTTGCCTTCCTATTCCTATTTGTCAACAGTGCTTTATTCATTAACCAATAAGAGAAACATATGTACAGAATGACATCTCCCATCACTCATGTTCATGAACAGATATATAAACAGGCGAGCTTACTCACCTCAGAGGGAAAGACTAAGAATGAACATGGAAATGTGCACTTGACAGACGCCATCTGTCTGCCAACTGAACTGGCCATTATTCACTGGCCAGGACACCAAAAATAGTAAGCCCCCAGGTAGCAACCATGTACATCAAATTGCCCAAGAGGTTGCTCTTGAGGAACCCAAACCCCAGACTCTTCTGGAACTATCTGCTGTCCCCAAGATCCCCCTCTGCCTCAATGAAGATGTTCCTGAGTACAGCCCAGAGGAGATCAGTCGTATTCTGACTTGGGGGCCCCCACAATGGATGGCAGGTCTTGCCTGATGGAAGAATCTTCGTGCCAAAGGTCCTGGGCCACAGTTGCTTTGCATCATGCCACGCACTTGTCACCTAAGGTCCCAGAACTCACTCATCTCACCTCTTGTCTGGTTACCCGGACGCTGAGAAAAACTTCAGAGCGAACATAAACAGCCCAAGCGGTAGATAAGAAACTAGTAATGGAAATTATTCCCAGATTTGATCTCCCCATATCTCTGGGGTCTGACTATGGCTCTCGGTCTTCACAGCCAAGTTATCTCAGTTGCTCTCTGAGGCTCCTAACTAAGTTGGAAACATCATTGTATATATCATGCTCCGAGCCCAGCAAAAGTAGAGAGGATAAACAGAACTTTAAAGGAGGCTTTGACTAAATATATACTCTTGGAACTGGTGGTAACTGGGTTTACCTCTTGCCTTATGTCCTTCTCAGAATCTAACGTACCCCTTACCAAGAAAAGTTCACCCCATATGAAATAGTCTGTGGGTGACCACCTCTCATGATCCCTTGGTACATGTCGGCCTGTTTTCAGATTGTCCCACTACAATCTCTGAGTCCTTAAAAGGGGTAAGGAGGAGTCAAGATGGAGAGACTGGGGAGACGAGAAGCCTGCCATATTTCCCAGTAAGATGAGACCACGTGGAAGTACTTAGATTAACAGAAATGGGTTAATAATTAAGACAGAGTAGCCGATAAGAAACAAGTAATGGGCCAACAGCATTATATCAAATACAGAGTCTCTGTGTGTTAATTGGGGCTGGCACAGCGACAGGACAAGACCAGTGGCCGGCAGGAAAAACCTACTCTTTACAAACCAGACTTTCTAAGGTTTGACCGTCTGACATAACTTCGGGTTCTTGTTGTGCAGACAGGACCCAAGTGCATCTTGACAGGGGAAATGGAAGACTCCCCCACCACAGGAAACACCAGATATTGTCTTACCATGCAAAAGATTGCCTTCATGCACCAGGGCCCACAGTTTGGGCAAAAGAAGATGTCTGCTTGTAGATGCCTGTCTAACAACAAAAAACTACACAAACCAGTCTGGATAGGAGGTTTTGGAGGAAAAACTCCAGAAGAAAGGATCCTATAAGAAAGGATCCTATAAAGTAGTAGAGGCTGTGGCCAAAAACAAACAAACAAACAAACAAACAAACAAACAAACCAAAAAAACCCAGAAGTACAGAAGTAATGGGGGTGGGGAGATCTCATTTAACTCAAGAAGATAAAAAAATGCCTTTCAAAGTTGTTTGTTTTGATGAAGTCATCAACCAACTCTGAGGCAAAAAGCAAGGCCAAGGCGGCATTGCTCATGACTAATAAAAAACTCGGGAAAGAGGCTGCAGTCGACCTGGCCTGGCCAAGGGTGCTGAAGCCTTCACCTGTGGGAAGGAAAGATGATATTAACCCATGATATGGTGAGGCACTGGATAACACTCACTCAGCCAGGGCTAAAGGTCTAAAACCTGGCTGTGGCTGCAGGGCAGAATGTAAGCAAAGGTCGCTGTGTCCACAGGGAACGGTCTGAAGAGCTCAAGGTGCTCACACAGAGGGAAGGGGCTTTCTCTCATAGCCTGACCTTTATCCTGAGACATTCTGTGCAGAAGACGATGGCTGGTCCTACTTAACACAGGGAGAGCGTAGTAACGGAAAAAACCAGGCTTCTCGAACTCTGCAGTCCAGGTTCTTACTCTGTGTGTCACGGCCTCCCCTGGGGCCATGGAACCCAACACTGGGCCTGCAACACCTCAGATCCAAGGCTACCGTACATTACAAATAGTAGAATTTTGTTGTGTGTTCAAGCTTCTTGATCTCACAGAAACATCGCGGTTTAATTATGTAAGTATGTCTTTGGGTTGTGCAGTTAGAATGTTTGATTTTTGAAACTGCTGCTTCGATTGCTGACCTGATTTTCATAAAAACAAAAAAGAAAGAAAGAAAGAAAGAAAGAAAGAAAGAAAGAAAGAAAGGAAGAAAGGAGCTGCCGGGTGAGGGGGCTGGGAGGCGCTTCAGCAGTTAAGAGACAATGCTGCTGTTGTAGAGCACTCAGTTCAGGTCCCAGCACCTACACCGGTGGTTCTCAACCTAGGGGTCCCAACCCCCTTGTGGGTGCGGCCACTCTTTTGCAGGAGTAGCCTAAGACCATTGTAAAACACAGACATTACATGTAACTTCCTGACAGTAGCAAAACTACAGTTGCAAAGTAGCAATGAAAATAACTTTACGGTTGTGGGTGGGGTCACCACGACATGAAGAACTGTATTAAAGGGTCACAGCATTGGCAAAGTTGAGAACCAACACAGTGGCTCCTCGCAGCCACCTGTGTCTCCAGTTCCAGGAGATCCGATGACCTTTTCCTGGCTCCTCTGAGCACCAGGCACACATGTGGTATGCATACGTGCATGCAGGCAAAAAAAAAAAAAAAAAAAAAAAAAAACCGTTTACACATTTAAATGAAAATAAAACTGCAAAATATTCTAAAGGTTAAAAATGCTGTTACGTGAATTTCAGCTTGGTATTAGGACACAATTTCCGATATGGTTATAAAACATAAATCTGCCCCTTGAACTGTGTATATGTTCTGTGTTATTTATGCAAAGCAGTATCCTCAGCTTTGACTATTATAAAACCAAATACTGATCGATTCTGGGGCTGGGCATTATGGCTCAGCAGGAAAAGCATTTGCCTCCAAGCCTGGCAACTTGAGTTTGACCCTGGAAGTCAGCATGGTGGAAGGAAAGGACTCACTCCAGCAAGTTGTCATCTGACCTCCACACGTGTCCTGTTGTGGCACACCACACACATACACTCACACACACACACACACACACACACACACAGCCACAATTTTACATTGCTTGGGTGAAACAGGACTGTGAGTGTTGTGTCTGTGAAACACTACTCACGGGGCGTTTATACCGGCCTGTTACCTGAGCCGGTGGTCCACCTCCGCCTGGTTGGAGGGGATCAGACCCCACAGCTCCTCCGTCATGGATTCGTTGACCCACTGCAGAGCCGCGTTCACCGCCTGGTGCCTTTCTGCCTCCTCGGCATCCACCACCTCCGGCAGGGCATTCTCTGGGACTTCAAAGTGAGCAGGTATCACCACCGAACAGATGTACTAACAACGACACAAGCGTGTTCCACGTTTTCTCTACCTCTCCCGGGAGATTGGAAATTGAGTTAATCTAGCATTTAACATTAGTTTTTTTTTTTTTTTAATAATCAATTTCAAGGGGGGGAAACTGTGTTGTTTTGCTTGTTTTCTTTCGTTTTGCTATACTTGCAAACCTGTTGAAACACTGAGAAACTTGACTTCATGAAACATTTCAAATTACTCTCTTGTTGAAGTACTGGTCTAAAATCTCCACATTTAACTTTTCCTAACACTACTTAATCTTAATTTTTCTCCTCTCACAGGCTGTGGCAATTTTATTTATAAAAAGTAGGTAACAGGAGTTAAACAGTTAAATTGTTTTTAATTTTTAAACTTACTTCTGTTTTCTTGAGGTAGAATCAGTGAAGCGACTCCAGCCGGCCTGAGAATGGCAAACAGGGCTCTGGCAGGCCGTGTCCTCTCTCCTGTTCCCTCCGCCTCGCTAAAACCCATGAGATTACGTTCCTAAAGCTACCCGCCAAGGTCTATTCCCACCTTACCTTTATAAACCACCACTTGCCAATGAGTTATGCCTGTGTCCTCTCTATCCAGAGGCAATCCTCTGTTCCACTCTGGGACAAATGCCCCTTTCCCCTCTCCCTTGCCCTGTCTCCTGTCTTTATCTGTACTGCTTCTGTCCTTCTGAGACAAACAGGTCTCCTATGTGCTGAGACCTTGCTCTTGGGCTATCCTGAGCTGATACCTTGCAGTCTCAAGCAGCCCGGGCTGGCCTTGAACTCACTGTGTATAGCAGAAGAGAGCCTTGAACTACTGGTCATCCCGGCCTACACCTGCTGAGTGCTGGAATTACATCCAGCTGCTAAAATTATTCAAATGAGTTGTTTTCTTTACTTAAATCCTTATTCCACAAATCTCAAACACATACACCCAAGTGTAGGTCTACAGAGTGCATTGCACGGTGATGCTGGAATACTAAAGGTGTTTTCCTTTCCTTTCTTCCCCTGGGATTGTTTTCAGGTTAACACGAGTGCCTCTTAGCGAAGCCACACTGAGACACACGGCACACGCACTGCTGACTCCACCATTCCAGCTTCTATGAGAACCCGTGAATAAACTGCATATGTTACATGTATCTGCTTCACAAGTACTGAATGCTGAAACAGTGTTTCTGCAACTTAGGTATTCCTGCTAATAAATCCAGGGATGGGTAGGATACATTGAAGAACAAATTAGAACCGCCTCATACCTTGGGGAAATTTTGAATGGTGCAGGAGATTTCCACCTGTAGAGTAGGGAGTCCCAGTCCATCCAGTATGATTTTCCCTGCTACCTTGCATATGGAGGGAGGCTTTGCAAGTTTAGAAAAGTAGTTTGCCTTCAACACACACATAAAATAAAATAAAATTAAAAAAAAATCAGGAGATCGTATTGACTCTATCCTGCAAAACTTCCCAGAACTGGACTAGCCCCACACCTCTGCTGGAACAGCCCTTGCTGAGTCTCCCACACGTGGACACATGGGGCAGTGTGTTGTGTTCTGACCAGTCATCACCCTCAGGCCTGATGTTCCCCTTTCCCAGTCCTTTCCATGGCAAGCCAACGGATTCCCCGATACTTTTTCCCAAGTTAGGGAAGTTATTGTTGCCTATAACACTATGATGCATTCAGATTTAAGGAATCTGAAGGGAACATACGAAAATCCATCAATGTGATCTACCATATAAACAAACTAAAAAAGAAAAACCACATGATCATCTCAGTAGATGCTGTAAAAGCCTTTGACAAAATCCAACACCCCTTCATGATTAAGGTCGTGGAGAGATCAGAGATAACAGGAACATACCTAAACACAATAAAAGCAATATACAGTAAACCAACAGCCAGCATCAAACTGAATGGAGAGAAACCCAATGTGACACCTCTAAACTTAGGAACAAGATAAGGCTGTCCACTCTCTCCAAATCTCTTCAATATTCTACTTGAAGTTCTAGCTAGAGAAATAAGAAAACAAAAGGAGATAAAAATTGGAAAGGAAGAAGTCAAACTTTCACTATTTGCAGATGATATGATAGTTTACATAAGTGACCTGAAAAACTCTACCAGGGAACTCCTACAGCTGATAAACACCTTCAGCAAAGTGGCAGGATACAAAATAAACTAAAAAAAAAAAAATCTGTAGCCCTACTATATACAGACAATAAAGGCTGAGAAAGAAATCAGAGAAACATCACCTTTTACAATAGCCACAAAAAACAAAATATTTTGGTGTAATGCTAACCAAACAAGTGAAAGACTTATATCATAAAGACTTTGAGTCTTTAAAGAAAGAAATTAAAGAAGATACCAGAAAACGGAAAGATCTCCCATACTCTTGGATAGGTAGGATCAATAGAGTAAAAAATAGCAATCTTGCCCAACGCGATCTACAGATTCAATGCAATCCCCATCAAAATCCTAGCACAATTCTTCACAGACCTTGAAAGAGCAATGCTTAACTCTATATGGAAAAACAAAAGACCCAGGATAGCCAAAACAACTCTGTACAATAAAGGATCATCTGGAGGCAGCAGCATCCCTGACTTCAAGCACTATTTTAGAGCTATGGTACTGAAAACAGCATGGTATTGGCAATAAAACAGACAGGTAGTCCAGTGGAATAGAACTGAAGAACCTGATATAAACACACACACCTATGAACACCCGATTTTTGGCAAAGCAGCTAAAATTATACAATGGAAAAAAGAAAGCACCTTCAACAAATGGAGCTGGCATAATTGGATGATGGTGTGTAGAAGACTGCAGATAGACCATGTCTGTCGCCATGCACAAAACTCAAGTTCAAATGGATCAAAGACCTCAACATAAATCCAGCCACACTGAACCTCTTAGAAGAGAAAGTGGGAGGTACCCTTGAACTAATTGGTACAGGAGGCAGGTTCCTGAACGTAACTCCAGTAGCACAGACAATGAGATCGACACATAATAAATGGGACCTCCTCAAACAGAGAAGCTTCTGTAAGGCAAAGGACACAACTGACAAGACAAAATCCCACATCTGACTGAGGGCTGATCTCCAAAATACACAAAGAACTGAAGAAGCTAGTTACCAAAAACACCAAATAATCCAATTAAAAAGTGGGGTACAGAACTAAATAGAGAATTCTCAATATAGGAATCTAAAATGGTTGAGAGACACTTAAGAAAGTGCTCAGCATCCTTAGCCATCAGGGAAATGCAAATCAAAAAAACTCTGAGATACCATCTTACTCCTGTCAGAATAGCTAAAATCAAAAACACCAATGACTGTTTATGTTGGAGAGGATGTGGAGAAAGGGGAATACTCCTCCACTGCTAGTGGGAGTGCAAACTCATACAGCTACTTTGAAAATCAGTTATGTCGGTTCCTCAGGAAAATGGGAATCAGTCTACCTCAAGATCCAGCAATTCCACTCTTAGGCATATACCCAAAAGATGCACATTCATACAACAAAGACATCTGTTCAACTATGTTCATAGCAGCATTATTTGTAATAGCCAGAACCTGGAAGCAACCTAGATGTCCCTCAAATGAAGAATGGATGGAGAAAATGTGGTACATTTACACAATGGAATGCTACTCAGTGAAAAAACAAACAAAAAATGGAACCTTGAAATTCCCAAACAGATAGAACTTGAAGAAACACCCTGAGCGAGGTAACCCAGTCACAAAAAGACAAACATGGTATGTACTCACTCATATGTGGATATTAGACATAGAGCAAAGGATTACAAGCCTACAATCCACACTGCCAGAAAAGCTGGGAAACAAGGAGGTCCTGTGGAGAAGGGGAAAGGGACAAAATCTCCTGAACAAATTGGGAGGGAGTTAGGAGGAAGAGGAGGGGAGAGATGGGCATGAGGGAGCAGGAAGATTGAGTCAGGGAAAGAATAGAGGAGAGCAAGAAAAGAGATACCATAATAGAGGGAGCCATTATAGGTTTTAAGAGAAATGTCCAGAGATCAACAAGGATGACCCCAACTATCAATCTAATCAATAGTGGAGAGGCTACCTTAAATGCCCTTCCACAATAATGAGATTGATGACTACCTTATATGCCACCCTAGAGCCTTCATCCAGTAGCTGATGGAAGCAGAAGCTGAAGCCCACAGCTAAACACATTCCTGGAATCCAGTTGCAGAGAGGGAGGAGTGATGAGCAAAGGGGTCGAGACCAGACTGGAGAAACCCACAGAAACAGCCTACCTGAACAAGGGGGAGCTCATGAACTCCAGTCTGATAGCTGGGGAACCAGCATAGGACTGACCCAGATTCCCTGAACATGGGTGTTAGTTAGGAGAACCCGGCAGTCTATGGGGCCTCTGGTAGCGGATCAGTATTTATCCCTAGTATACGAATGAACTTTGGGAGCCCATTCCACATAAAGGGATACTCTCTCAGCCTGGACACATAGGAAGGGCCTAGGCCCTGCTCCAAATGATATGACAGAGTTTGAAGACTCCCCATGGGAGGCCTCAGCCTCCCTGGGGAGCAGAAAGGGGATGGGATGGGGGTTGGTGGGGGCAGGGGGGAGGGAAGGGTGAGGGAACTGGGATTGACATGTAAAACTAGCTTGTTTCAAATTTAAATAAAAATATATAAAAATAAATCTGAAGGGAGACTGTTTTATCCCATCCTGACTCCCAGCGGGCATCTTGCTTTTTAACAGTGCAGTTAGACAAGTCCTACCTACCATCGGCTGATACATAGGTCTACCTAACTGAAACAGGCCCCGTGGGACTCTCGGTAATTGCAATTTCTCCTAAATGACAGAGCGTACTTCATCTGTCAGAGATCCAAGATCGATGCGCGAGGTCTCAGGTCTCTAGGGGCAGTGCCCTACGCGGGCAGGTTGACTGCGGAGAGCATTTACACGTGGAAACACGTGTAAGTTTGTAGCTTTGCACACTGAGTACCTGCCACACAGGGTTTGGTGTCCTTCCAAACTGAGAACCACAACACTAACAGTTCCTTTAGCAAGCGACTTTAGGAACTGAAATCCTTATCCCGCGTTCACTCACCCACTTTCCAAAGTCCCTACTATCGGTCATTGTCATCCTCCGCCCCCCCCCGGGGGTCATTTTAATACCCGGGGCACAAGTTCTTTATTTAGAAGGGGAATGGGGGAAGAGGATCGTTGTTGTGTTTGTCTTGTTTTAACCTTGCAGAGAGTTTCCAGAGACTGAGATAACGGTGGTACCCTAACTGCCCCCCCTCCCGCTCCCCACGCCGGCGTCTGATGCCCAGGGCTCCTGTCGTCGGCAATGGCCGGAGGGATGCAATAGGAGGACGCGCCCCAGGAGACCTCAAGGACTCTAAATCCAGAGCCAAGCGGAGTCTGCCGTTTAGGCACTCGCTGGCCCGAGGAGGAGTTGGGTAGCTAGCCAAAGCAAGGTTTGCACGGGGCACGCAAACCCTGGCGCACAGGCTTGGGAGCTGAGCCATGGGAGGCAGCGGGAGCCAGTGCGGTGAGCTCCGGGGTGGACTGCGGCCGAGTCACAGCCGGGTCCCGGTCCCTGACGGCGGCGGCGGCGGCCGGGGCGAGGAGCTGGGCGGCGACAGGTCTGAGTGTCAGATCCGGGGATCTGAAGGCGCCCGCAGGCTGGCGACGGGCCCCGAGTCCCCCTCGCCACCCGTCGGCGTCACTGATCGCCCGGCCGAGTCCCCGCCACACCCCCCCCCTCCCCGGCCCCAGCAGCGCGCAGGCGCGACTCCAGGGCGCAAGCGCAGCGCGCAGCGCGCAGCTGCAGCAGCGTGGGCCGGGCCGGCCGGGGGCGCGCGCGGGGGGCGCGCGCGGGGCAGCGGGCGCGCTCGCCGCAGGGCCCTACCAGGTGCCCGTAGACGTCTGCGGGCTGCAGGTAGAAGGTGGAGTTGAGCAGCTCCTCCAGCCGGCGCGGGACCTCGTTCTCCTGGTAGTACGCCATCGCCTGCTGCTTCAGCTTCTGCAGGTCCCTAGTGATCCCGCAGTTGCGGCCGCTGCCGCCTTCGTCCCCCATGGTAGGAGACTCGGGGCTTCAGCGGGGATTTCGCCTTGGGGTGGGGGGGCCCGCCAGCGTCCCTTTGTCGCTAGGCAACGCAGCGAGATTCCAGACCCCCTAGATCTCGCGAGGCTTCGTGCCCTGCGTGGAAGGAATCCTTGCGCTCTGCTCTCGGGATGCTCCGTGGTCCAGGGCGCGCGCTTCGTGCTCAGGGCTCTTCCAGCCTCACTTGTCACCGTTTTCCCCGACCGCTTTCCGGACGGGGAGTCACTTAACGATTGTTTGAGTTCGTTTTGCAGACGCTGGGGAGCGGTGCCCGCTGCTTCCAGCTCCCCGACCGGTCCAGTTACGAGGGAGAGGGATGCAAGAGCCCGGGGTGCCCTTCCCGAGCCGCGCAGGTCCTGGGATTGCATCCCTTCCATCCCATGCAGTGTGCTTGCTGCACGCCTCGTGACCCTCCCAGAAACGGCCTTGCACGCCCTTCCGGGGGATATAACTGAGGGTGAAATCTCTGCGAGGGAAACTCAGTGTAGGCAGTAAGGAGGATATTTTGGAGAGACCCAGGGCGGGGGTAGAGGTGATGCAGAAACAGAGCTCGGGAAGGTCCTTGGGTCGTGGTCTCAGGAGAGGGTTCCCTGTATGCTGTGACAGTCAGGCATCAAACGCAATGATAGAACTTCTTACCCTGCCCTAGATACTTCGACAGGGACAGGGTGATCTAGTTTTTACTTTTGCCTGTTTTATATCCCCCAACAGAAAGCAGGTTGCTTAAAAGTTCTGTGCCTGCATTGCTCATCTGGAAAAAACCATAATCTTTCCTGATCTGCTTGCACTCACTTAAAAATAACCCTGAGAGCGAAGAAGCTTTTGGGAACAGTTGTTTTCCATAGCTGTACTGTTGGATGTAGGTGAATAAAATATGTGATTCTGTAAGTACTGTTACATAACCCAGACTGGCACCTCCCCTCTCTGGACTCCACAAGCATTTTTCCTCTCTCTCTCTCTCTCTCTCTCTCCCCCCCTCTCTCTCTCTCTCTCCTTCTTCATCATCATCATCCTCTTCTTCTTCTGTTGCTTTCTTTCTGTCTCTCTTTCTTTCTTGGTCTCGAGAACGATTCCCTTTCTGTGGTGTGATGGATCACCACACACTTGACCTAGCCTCCTGGCTGCAAGTCCTTTGATGGTGGAGGCAGAGGCTGAGTCATCTTCCTGCCCATGCAGAGCTGGCTGCTGACAGCTGGGTTCTGAGAGGCTCCTTATGTAAAAACAAACGAGTCCACAGTGCTGCCATTGCTGTCATCCCTCTGTGCCCCTCCTCATGGCCACCCACCTCCACCTGGAGGCACCTTTGTCCCCGGTCTGATATGTGTCTTCAGGAAGAACTGTGCCTTGTGTCCTGGCCCCCAGGAGCCTGTCCTCTCGTGTGAACTCCTTGCCCGCTTGAGTCCTGGACCACAGATCTCAACCCTCATCCCTTAGGGTTGATCCGTTTGGCTTTCCGTCTTCCTTCTCTTTGCTGTTCCCATGCTCAACTTAGTTCTCTGGGCTTCCCACTGAACTAACTATCTCCAGACAGAGCTCATTTAATTTCTTTTCTTTTTGAAGTTGGAGACTTGGTTCTGTTTATCCCAGGGATGGCCTCAAACTGACTATGTAGTGTAGGGTGACCTTGAACTTATGGTCTTTATTCCTCTACCTCCTGAGTTCTGGAATTACTGCTGTGAACCACCATGCCCAGTTTGTGCTGGGGCCGGAACCCCAGTCTTCTCGAGTGCCAGGCAAGTGCTCTACCAGCTGAGCTATATCTCCAGCCCTCATTAGTATTTTGATGGAAGCCTGGAAGTCTTTGGGCTGGGGCCACTACCTGATAGGGTTTTCCCTTTCCAACCCACCGTCCTCTGTGTTCGTGAGGACAGGGATTGGGTGTCGTCATCCACGTCATCAGCATAGTCTCTGATAGACTGGATGTTACTGGGCAAATGAACGGGTTTTTGCACATCACTAATGAATACTTAACTGACAAATGTTTTTGGGTTGGGTGAATGATAATTACTCTGTTTCAGAAAGGAGAAACACATAGATACTTAGCCTCTAGAGGAGTTGTTAAGAGGATGACATAGCATCCTGCAAGCATGGGGTATTCCTAAAAATATGGGGTGGGCAAGGTAGAAGTGGTTGGCTGGCCACAGTGACAAGACTGGCCCATGTTTGGCTCTGTAGAAAGTGGTGAATCCGGTAAAGAACGGTGTAGAAAGGTTAAACAGTAAAGTTGCCGTTGGGAAAAGATAGATAAGAAATAATGTCGAGAAAGGCTTAGGCGATAGGATGGGGTTGGGGAGCCACAGAAAAGACTTGGGGGGCCTGTAGAGTTCTCTTAGAGTTGTCAAGAGTAGGATACATAGTAGGATCCATGGCTGCACGTGCACCTTTAGTCCCAGTAGGGCAGGCAGATCTCTGAGTTCCAGGACAGCCAGGGCTATGCAGAGAAATCCTGTCTCAAACAAACTAAGCAACAACAACAAATTGTAGGATACTTGTGTGGCCTAAACTTAGTGCGGACATGTTTGCTGGGTTACACACCTGCTGGCCTTGAGCTTGGGAATCCCAGAGGAAAAAAAGGGAGATCTGAAGACACAGCTAGAAGATACCTTCTTAGTATAAGCCTGCAGAGTGGAGATGTTGGCAAGAGGGAAGGGGAACAGCATCCTCTTGAAACAGGAGGCAAGTGCTGCAGAAGGAATAGATTGATTGAGGACACGGTAGGAGGGCAGGGGCTGTAAGAGGAAACAGCCAAAGTGAGCTTAGAGCAACAGCCCCAAAGGCAAGAGGAGAGAGTTGGTGACGTGCCAGGTGCCACTGTGTACACTGGGGGACAGCCTGCACACACACACACACACACACACACACACACACACAAGACAGCCTGGGCACACGCACACACACAACACACACACATACACATACACACACAGGATAGCCTGGGCACACACATACACACACACACATACACACACGGGACAGCCTGGGCACACACATACACACACACACACACACACACACACACACACACACAGGACAGCCTGTCAGGATGATAGTCATCCTGTCCTCAGGCGGTGATTCACAGGCAGCTTTTATTTTTATATATTAGTAGTTTCCAATTTTCTTTAAACGAATTACTTTTATGACTCCAAAAATTATAGTATGTTAGAGAGAAGGATATTTAAGTCAAAGCTTAGAGAAGGATTGACTGCTAAGAAGGGGCTATTAGTAACTTAGTTGCTTTCTTATATTTCTTCTCTAAAATGAAACCATGTGATGTCAAAGTGAGCGTAAGTACCTCTTTTTACCTCTGCCATTCAGCTGACAAAGATTTCTTGACTCTTTGCCATGAGCCAGATACTGTTCCAGAGCACTGAGGTTCTGGTGCATCTCAGCTGACTCCTGATCGTGAGCCCAAATTCGTACACTGACACCAGGGACCGGAAAACTTGTCTGTGCTCTGACGTATTATCAGCCTGTCAGTGTGGCCAGGTTCCGGTCAAAAGACTGCCCATTAGTATTCCAGTTTTATTTCCCACAAGTGAACACTGAGGATGCTGGGAGTTGAGCTGCAAAATATACACAGATGTTGCAAATTGTACACAAACGTCACATCTCAGTTTTAATATCTTGGTGGTTCTTTTTCTGTTCCTACCCAAACTAAATGCATGAAGACCCTTGTACAGCATCAGAGCGTGAAGGGAGTCGGTGTCAGGTTCACACTGGAAGCTCAAGGCTGGAGAGTTGGAGGTGGGAGAGAGGAGAAGGTGCAGAGCAGCAGGAGGAGCGCGGAGACTGAAAGTGGCTGGCGGGGCACATGGAGAGGGCATGGGACTGCGCCCACCCTTTAGAGATGCATACACACCAGCGCCGTGGCTGTCACCGGGATCTGTGTGTAGAGTGTGAGGCAGGGGCAGTTCTGAAATAACACATAGAATTCTAGATTTGCCTCTCAGTACAGAGAGGTCTGGATCGATGGTGCTTTCTAACCCTTTCAAGAATGAAGACCCCACTCCCCCCCTTCTCTCTCTCTCTCTCTCTCTCTCTCTCTCTCTCTCTCTCTGCCCCCCTACCCCCCCAAACCCAACAAGACAGGGCTTCTCTGTGTAGCCCTGGCTGTCCTGGAAGTCACTATGTAGACCAGGCTGGCCTCAATCCCATCCTGGCTCTCCTGGAATTTACTGTGTAGACCAGGCTAGCCTCAGATCCACAGAGATCCTCCTGCCTCTGCCTCCTGATTGCTGGGACTAAAGGCGTGCGCCACCACTGCCCAGTTATAGACCCCTTTTTAATAACTACAACAACAACAACAATGGAATGCCCACCCACCCCACAAGTAATAGTAGCTGTAAACACAGCAGTGCTTTTGTAGCCCTTGGTAATCCAGCTAAGTACTTTGCACATACAAAAGAGACTGCCTGCACAGCCAAGCCTTTACTGTCTTGGGCATGTGCTTGGTGTAAGTTTAGGGCTGAGAGCCGTTTGCCTGGGGTTCATGGGTGCCCTGGAAACCTGACTGAGAACCAGCAAGGCTGCTTCCCTCCTAGATCCCTTCAACTCTGTAGTTGTGATTCAAGAGAAAATATCAGGAACACCCACTTGCCTCAGCCTGCTAGATGCTTCACTTTGCATCTTAAAAGGAATCTCCCACCCATGCCAGTTATTTCATAAATGGATGAAGATGAAAACAGACATATTTGTTCATCCCCCCCCCCCCTATGCTATCCAACACCTTTATTTAGATTGGAACCTTATTTAGATCGGAACTTTAATATTCGAGAGTGATGTTTAGATGTTACTTGGCCTGCTATCAAGTGCCTGCTAATTCTTCCCTGCCTTTGACATCTGCGTTGAAAATCATTTTCACAGGGAACTAATGAGCGTGACTGCAGGTGCCTTTAATCACAGACCCCTCCCCCTAGAAACTAGAGACAAAATGGACGGAAATCGGGAGGAGTAACACTCACCTTCCTCCCTAGTTGCCAAAGGTGACAAGGAGGGTTGCCCA